ACAGAAGACCGAGATTGGACAGTTTACACTTTGAGATGCTTGATGAGGACACTAGAAACCATATTAAGAAGGATTTCACAAAAGAAGAGAAGAAAAAGCACTTATTGGTTGTAATGGCGACAAGGTCTCCGGCTTAGATGGATTTAATGTGAGATTCCTTCTAGAGTACTGGTATGTGGTAAAAAATGATATTGTGGAGGTGTTTAGAGAATTTCATAGCTCCGGATCGTTTGTAAAATCTCTAAAATTCACTTTCTTGGTTCTTATTGTTAAGAAAGAAGGGGACAAAAACATCAAAGACTTTAGGCCCATAAGCGTAGTGGTTATATATACAAATTAATTTCGAAAATCCTTTCAAGTAGATTGTCTTTTGTCCTGGGTGCAGTCATTGGGGAGTGTCAGCATGCGTTTGTGAAAGGAAGGCTGATTATGGATGTTGTGTTAGTGGCAAATGAAGTGGTTGATGATTTGATCAGTAATAGGAGAGGTTTCATGTGTAAATTTGATATGGAAAAAGTCTATGATCATGTTCGTTAGGACTTTGTGGATTATATATTGAGTAGAATGAGTTTTGGAGAGAAAGGTGATGCAAAATCTTAGATCAACGCATGCAGTTCAAAACTCTACATATAACAGTAGGATGCAGAAACTTAAAATCTTTAATTAAACCCTTCCTCCTTAACTCACATTCAACTTGTTAATGCAAACTAAGGTAATTGGGATAAGAAATATCTTGATATTAAAATGACATAAGAAATCTCTTGATAAGTTAAAATCAACTCAAGAAAAGAGATTGATGAAAACACCACTAGTTATCTTGATAAATAGATACCAATTCTCCATTCAACAAGATGTTTGAAAAAACCTTCTTAAAGAGCAATTTAACCAACAACTAACTAAAAGTAAAAGCTTAATTTTATTGAACTTGAATTTTGATGTTTTTACAACCTAAAAAGTAAGGCCTTTATATAGTTTAGGCATTACTAGTTCTACTTGAATTCAAAAACTAAATCCTAAAATAATTCTAATTACATTCTTATCTATAAAATATTAAAATAATAATTTGAAGAAGTATAAACATAATTTAATAAAAAGTTTTCTT